TTTGACAACTAAGCATCCATGTCCTTCCAGGGTAGTGTCATAAAGTCAGAGATACACAGCACAGAAACAGAGCCTTCGGTCCAACTCGCCTATGCTGACCAAAATCCTAGATAAATCTAGTCCCTTTTCCAGCATTTGACCAATATGCCTCTGAACGCTTCCTATTCACGAAGCGATCCAGATTCCTTTTAAATATTGTTATTATACCAGCTTCCACCACTTCCTCTGGTAGCTCATTCCATACATGCACCACCCTCTGAAAAAGTTGGCCCTTTAGGTTGCTTTTAAATCTTGCCCCTCTCACCTTAAACCTATGCCCTCTAGTTTTGAGTCTCCCACCCAAGGAAAAGACCTTGGCTATTCACCCTAGCCATGTCCCTCATGGTTTTACAAACCTTTAAGGTCACGCCTCAGCCTCTGACATGCCAGGGAAAATAACCACAGCCTATTCAGCTTTTCCTTAAAGCTCACTCTCCAACCCTGGCATCATCCTTAAATCTTTTCTGAACCCTTTCAAGTTTCAGAACATCCTTCCTTTAGCAGGGGGACCAGAACTGCGCACAGTATTCAAAAGTGGCCTAACCAATGTCCTATACAGCCAGAAAGTGAACTCCCAATTCCTATAGCCAATGCACTGATCAATAAAGACAAGCATACCAAACACTTCCTTCACTATCCTATCTACCTGTGACTCCACTTTCAAGGAAGTATGAACTTGTACTCCAAGGTCTCTGTTCAGCAACACTCTCCTGCACCTTCCCAATAAGCGTGCAAGAGCTACCGTGATTTGCCTTTCCAAAATACAGCATCTCACATTTAGATTAATTAAATTCTAACTGCCATTCCTTGGCCCATTGGTCCATCTGATTAAGATCCCATTGAACTGAGGTAACCTTCTTCACTATCCATGACACCAACAATTTTGTCATCAACTGCAAACTCACTAACCATACCTATGTTCACATCCAAGTCATTAATACAAGTGACGATAAGCAGTGGATCCAGCACAGATCCTTGTGACACCACTGGTTACCAGCCTCCAGTCTGTAAAGCACCTCTCCCCCCTCAGCCAGTTCTGTATCGGCATGGCTAGTTCTCCCTGTATTCCCTGCACTCTAACCAGTCTACCATGAGGAACCTTGTCAAACGTTGCTGAAGTCCATATAGATCACGTCTACCGCTGTCCTCAATCTAGTGTTCCAGAAAGTTCTAGTTCTAGGGTTTTATTGTCAAATGCTGTAAGTCAATTCTATTAAGTCTCTTCAAAGCACAATCTTCTCATCCAAACAGACAGTCTAGTATTGTAAAAACATTTTTTGCACTCATTTCACAGCAATACCATTACTTATGCAAGACTGTAAGTATACATCATACTCCACATATGGTCCTAATGGCCTGCCTACACAGTTGCTGTTGAGAATTTTTCAAACATCTTGCCACAAAGAAACCTGATTACACGTACCATTTGCTTTCCTAAGTACTTGCCATATCTCCATGTTAACTTTGTGATTCACCTACAAAAAAAAGAGTACCTAGATGTCTTTGAATACCAAGATTTCCCAGCTTCCCACTATTCAAAAAAAATTCAACTTGCCTATTTTCTTCCTTCCAAGCTGGAAAGCATCTCACACTCATTATATTCCATTTGCAATTTTCGTGCCCACTCAACTTGTCTTTGCCCCTTTGAAACATTTTTGCAAACTCTTCACTGTTTACTTTTCCATTTAACTTTAGATTAGCAAACTTGGATATATTGCACTCGGCCCCCTCAACCAAGTAAAATCAAAATGCTGGAAATATGCAGCAGGACAAGAAGCATCTTTAGAAAGAGGAAGGAGTTTTGTTTCAAATCAATAAACTTTTATTGGACAAGAGAAAATCTACAAGTGTTGTAGGTCTCAAGCTAATCAAAGGAAGAAGAGGTGGTGATTGGGGTGGTTTGTGGGTAGGGAGAAAAACATATGGGAACAACTATGATATGCTGGAAGATTCATTTACATCAAAGTTTCTGGTGCACAGCCAAAGAGAAAACAAGAGGGACAACAAAACATGCAAAGATAAAGGAAACAAAACGGGGGCAAACATTTGATCTGAAAGTGTTGAACTCAATATTCAGTCTGGCAGTTTGCAAAGCATCTCCTTAAATCATTACTTTGATCAAACTTAAATGGAGCTTCACCAGACCAAGGTAGACAATTAAAACAACAAGTTTTCTTGTACCTCCATGTACCACCCAAGGACTAAACTGAGGTTTTCTGCAAAGCAGTCATCAATTCACTGCACGTGTCAATCTTTCAGACATGCTGAAAGGACACAGCATTTTCTGTTTTTATTTCAAATTTCTAGCAATGGCAAAACTTTGCTTTTGTGCTGCTTTGCTATTCATTAAGTCTTGGATATGGATTGTAAATAGCTGAGGCTCCAAAAACTAATCTTGTGGTACCCTGCTAGTTACAAAGTAGAACATCTACATTTTGACCAACTATGTTTTTTGCCCATTATCCAAAAATTAATCCATATTAACTGATGAGCCTGAATTTTGTGTAATAATCTCTTGGTACAGTACATTATAGAATGCTTCTTGCAAATCCAAATACACCACTTAGATTCCTCTTTACCTAGTCTGCCACTTAAAATCCTAATATAAATAAAGAATAACTGATTGTTAAAATCAGTCCAAGTAATAACTCTGAAGAACTTCGTTTCAAACAAATTTGTACAACTTATCTAAACGAGAGATTACACATCTTATCTCATGTAATAAAGACCTGACACATCTAACTTCCTATGTAAGCTGAAAGACCTGCCATACATTTCCAAAATTTGTTTACATTTCAGTCTCATTTGCAATTTTTTCATATACTTCAAGGCCAGTCCAGCTGTTCAGTCAATTTCATCAGCAGGAGATCGATTTTGATAGAAAGTGACACCTTGATAGATACCAGTGTCCAAGAGGACAACAGATCACAAACAGAATGCACATCAACTTATATGATCAGTAGATCTGATACAGCTGTGGAGTGTACCGTAGACACTGGAGAGAAGAGCAACTAATAATAGTTTCCCTGCTTGAAACAGAGTAGCACAGCACTTATCACCTTTAAACTGAAGTGACTATAAACATGGAATGACTGCCTCTTTTCTTCTATCACCTTGTTGCATCTCTAGAGTAAAGCCATTACGTACAATAAGTTAGTAAGTCCACAAGTGCGCTGGCTAAGATTTGGGAAGAGAAAACTCATCTAGTCTATAGTGACAAGTCTTAGCATAAGGTGTGTTAGATGAATTCTTAATCAAGTAGAGATAAAAGTAGACAATTTATACAACAAAATGCATTCCTTCACTGTATAAATTATATTACTGCAGCTCCACTGAAAACATGAGAAAGGTTTCCATTCCAATAAAAGTAAAAAGAAAGACAAATTGATTTACAAAAAAATTCTGCATAAACTTCAAACCAAATTTTGAACAATTGTTCATTTGATGAGGAACTCAGTTTCCTGATAAAAGGTTAATGTGGAGCAACAATTCTCTTGAAAATAAAAGAGAAGTCAGAACTTTTAAAACAAGTTAGTATACAAGTTAGCACAAATAGATTGGACAGGCCACTTAACAGCAAAATAGACAAAGATTTCATACGTCACAATTTAATTCACATTTACTTCAGTAAATACGCTAATCACTAGCATAGAAGTTAAGCAAAAACAATTTAAATACTTGTCACAATGTATTGTTAAGGTAAATAACTATTTCGTGTGTTACAAAACCAGAGTATTTTGTTAGGATAAATAGCAGTATTAACTGGTCAAGTGACACCACAGAAAGGCCACATGAATACCTCATCCACAATACAAACCGACAATTGATTTCACAATTCATGCAGCTTGTCTTGAAGGTTTCCTCTATTGTAGCTTTCACGTTTTAGAATTTAGCCAGAAAACCCATTCCAGAGCTACCAACGTACAATGGATCTAGAATTAGTTTTAACCAGACAAGCGAGCTTTACTTTTTAAAAATGACAATAAACCATTCAACTAATCTGAAGTTGGTAAACAGATGCGAGGTGACAAATTTTTTAGAAGATTTACTAATTTAGTGAATTACACTAAATCCAAACAGCATTTCAGCCATGACTGAAAATTGAAGTCAATAAGTTCTAGCGGGATGTTTCCTTTTAAAAGATGAAAAGTACGTTGAAATAAAGAGCGAATAGTTCCCATCCATAATTCTGCTAAAAAAAAATGTTGCTGCATAATGAAGACAATTCTGATTGATTTTTACCTTTTAGAGTCCTGAGTGTTCTGGAAAATCCTCAAATTAAGAGGATTTAGAATTTACTTACCCAAAATATTTTGATATTTCGGTTTTGTTTAAAACAGTAATCTAACTTGAATCCCTTACCATAGAGCAATTATGTAACTGTTATTTTAGATAAACTGAGCACTCCTAATATGCTGAAACCAGTCTTGATTCAGAGCGGCGAACACTTAGAACGCAAGTTTTAAACAGTTCCGTGCCACCACATCAAGCAGAGGTTGCTGGATAGTCGCAATTCGAGACACTAAAGCGCTATCAAGTTAGGGGTATGGTGCTTTTCAAGTTTCTCAAGTCAAACCCAAGCCAATGTTCAAACTTCAAGTTACAGCAACATTACACTCTAAAATGTGCAATGAGACTTCGCAGGATTGACGCGAGTAAAACATACCTCGGTAGCTCCCGACTCTGTAACAAGGCTGCGAGAGCACACGTCTAAAACTGTACTAAGATAAACCATGGGGACGTAACTATCAGTTCGAGTGGGTGCTGTAACTCATCCTTGTCCGTAAACACTCACTAATGTCAAACGCCCAAAGCACCAGCATCAGCGACCTGACTAACCTGAAAACAGCTGTAGCGGCGAGAACCCGGTCTGACTCAACCCACCACGGGGGCAAAAGTGCCCATTTTATTCCCCCCCTCCCTTAATATACCAAACAGCAGTAAGAAACGGAATGTCTCACCCCATTTTTTCCCTCTATCCTCCTGCTGAATACACGCCGATTCTCCGGCCTGCGGGGGGACGCTTCTCGCTTTACGGCGTTAATGATGGGAGATGGTACCGAGACTCAGGCTCTCTCAGCCCGGTTCAGAGAGACGCCGGAGCAGATCATTTCATCCCCGAGCACACAGGGACAGAGAGGTGGGGAGATGAATGCAGCGACAGCGGCAACTCACGGGTAAACCCCGTGGGTGCTCCAAGGGACTCTTCCTCCCCCCCTCTACCCGCCTTTTCGGTCCGGATGCCTTGGAGGTGAAGCAGGGGGAGACGGGGGGAGGTCGCCAGCCGCGGCCCCAAAATCAAAGTGAGCGAGGCGGCTGCAGCTGCCGGGTCAAGATTCCAATTACGCGGCGCTCCAACCGCCACCTTCCATTCCCTTTGTCAGCAGCGGCGCTCCTCCACTCACTCCCGCAGACTCCACCACTTCTGCCCGGCCATAACCAAAACCCCCGCACACCCCTCGCTCCTTTCCCCACCACCTCCGCGTGCGCCCGACCTTTAAATGAACGTCAGCGCGTCACGGCGTAGCGCAGTCACCCACCTCTGACTCGCCCGCCTCGTTCCGACTCGGCCCTGACGTCAGAGCACAGCAATTACCCGATGACGTCAGCACGGCTCCCCACACTTTCTGCTAATTATACACACAGCATCCTGTCATTTCACATGCCCTAGTTTGGTTGGAGAGCCACCCACCATCTGCATCCTCAGTGGTTCAGACCGCACAACAGGAAGTTTAGGATGTTGCCAAGGATAATGGAGCTTCAAATGCAAGCCGAAGTGGTGTTTTATCTTGCATCTGTTCATGAACTTTCCTTTTTGCAATTTATGAGCCTGGTACATTAGAATGTGAGATGATGGTTGGATTATGTTTTTTTCCCACATGGCATGTACATCTTTAATTCCCCAAAACAGTCGGAAAGTATCGTCTTAATGCATATGTCTCTCCAGTCACACAAGTTAAAATCTTAAAGCCCTGCTCCTGTGCAATTGTCATAAAAGTTACTAAACTAATAAAAAAAACTCTGGTTATACATTGTGATTTAATGTTCTTTCATTCTGAGCGTCTTCTCTTTGTACGTTCTTTCCTCCATATATATAGACCAGATAAATAAACATTATAAAACCCGAAAGAACTGCGGATGCTGTAAATCAGGAACAAAAACAGATGCTGCTGGAAAAGGTCGGCGGGTCTGGCAGCGTCTAAGAAAAAAACTCAGAGTTAACGTTTCAGGTCCGGTTCTGAGGAAGTGTCACCGGACCCGAAACGTTAACTCTGATGTCTCTTCACAAATGCCGCCAGACCTGCTGAGCTTTTCCAGCAATTTCTGTTTTTGTCATAAATAAACATTATACCTACCCATTTTATCGCACCACCAAGCACATTCTTCTCTGATTGACATCTGATTTATTAATATCACCTTTTCCAGGTGTGAACAAGCCCGACAATTTGTAACTTGCAAATAATTGAATACAGAATATTATTTTAAAAACTTGGCATGCAGCTAGTTAGAAAGGTAAACCGACAAGGCATCACACTTTAGGCAGCTTATCAGTAAAGTCTTTGGAAGATGCTAGGTGCCATAACAGTGCTTTCAAGCAGCACTTGCTCATCAATAATGTACTCACTGATGCTCAGTTTGGGTTCACCAGACCTCATTAGCTTCACACCTCATGAGCTTCAGACCTCATTATATTTAAAATGGTGATGAGAAGGGACATAGTCGCTCAAAGGTTCATTAGTCTTTGAAAGTATCTTCCATTGAGAGCTGTTGAAAATTGGAGCCCCCTTTAAAACTAAAATTCTTTGAGTTTTTCATATTTATTATTTCCTATGTAGCCTGAGTATTACGGCAGTAACTAGCATTCTGCAAATATAAACTGACCTCCAGTATATGAATACAGAGAACAGATTAAAACCATTGCTGAGTTCATGACTCATGTCAAAAGTTTATCGTATGCCACATTACCCTATTATTAATGCAATGTTTAAAAAAAAAGGAGTTTTTGTTCTTAGAAGGAATTAAAACTAAACTTAAAATGGAGGTGGGAAAGGGGACAATGGTCATCCTGGCATCATGAGTAGCTGCCAATGGTCATTGGACAAAAAGGTTCAGACAATTGGTTGATATAGCATAGATGGCCATCTGCCAAAATAATGAGCTAGGTGGGAAAAGAGGAGTATGAGAGGAATCAAGGGGACGAACCACCATCTCCTTCTAGGAAGGTGTTCCTCTACATCAGCCCAAGGGAAAACCAAAGATTGTGGCCACCAGAGACCATGAAGGACTATCACAAAAGACTGCAAGACATCTGGAACATGGAAGTGTGCTGCTTCTACTCCACCATTTTACAGAAAAGCCTAATCAACTAATGTACCATATCTAAACTGCTGCTTCTCAATAAACTATCAGAAAATCATTACAAATCCACTGCCTACGTTAGATAACTATGATCACAAATCCCTCCCACAAAATCACCAGAACAGTGGGGGCCATATCTTTGAATATATTCCAGGGTGAGCCGGATAGATTATTGACCTACATGGGGGTCATTTGTTAAGGGAGTCAGACAAAAAACTGGAGTTAATTGGATCGGCCAATATCTCATTGCCTTCTGGAATTAGTTCAATGAGCTGGATGACCTACCCCTGCACCTATTTCTCGTGATCTTGGGGTCAGATGTGCCACTTGGAAATGGCCTTGGACGGACTCCAGAGAATGCCCTGAATTGAGAATTCAAGAGTCTAGCACAAGGTAAATCTGGAAGCCTGCTGAGTCCAGGTTACCAAGCCCTGGTGAGGGATCATGGTTGAGAAGGCAGCAGGGAATGGAGAAGAGAAACACAGGGGGAACCCTTTGGGAGATCACTTCAGGGCCTCAAATGATCCAGTGCAAGCAGACTGGCCGATGCCTCCCTCACCCAGTAGAATGGGAGGCAGGTGAACAACAGTCTTGCTCAATTTTAGACCTCACCTCTCATCCTACAGCTGAAAAATTTAGTACTTCATTTTGGAATGTAATAAGCTTTCATTACAATTCTACCTATGACAGAAACTTCCTGAAAACCAATTGAAGTCACTGCAAATTAAGGAATTAGATTTCCTAAATATCATGAAGTAGATTTTCAAATTGCGATTATATTTTGAGGTCAGACATCAGTTCTAACAATTTTCTGGAACAAGAGCAAAGTTGCTGGAAAAGTTCAGCAGGTCTGGCAGCATCTGTGGAGGAGAAAACAGAGTTAACGTTTCGGGTCCGGTGACCCTTCCTCAGAACAATTTTCTGGCTTTGGTTACCATTGATTTCAATTAAAATGAATACCAATCAGCTGCTCCGGAATATGATTGATACTTGATAACAGCGTGAAAATTTGTCTTGATTCTGCAAGAAATTTGTAACTTTCAAAGTCTTTCTTCCAGAAGGTGTGGAGATGCAATGTATTTTTAGTATGGAATTTCTAAGATCTGTCGAAAAGTATACGTCTCATTTTTCTGCCAGGTTTGTCAGGTTTAGTGCCAAACATATATGTCTCCACTTTAAATGTGTTACTTTCATTAACATTTTCAACCCAACGCACACAAATTTCTTGCATTGCAAATGACTTATGTCTGATTTTCTTTTTCTAAAGGTCAGAAAGTTAGAGGTTTTCATTTTCCTTCAGAGTGTCTTATTAGTTGTTGTAATTCTGGCGTGTGTTGTATAATTGAAAGCTGACATTTCTGGATTCCAGACTGGACTCATAGGTCTGCTATAGTTACAATCCAGAAAAAGTGAATCCAGGGTGTCACTGAGGCCAGGTTACCAGATCCTTATGACGGTTTGAGGGATCATGGTGGACAGAACAGCAGGGGATGGTGAGGAAAAAGATTCGGGGGATTTCTTGGGGGGGATGGGCACCTAGGGACGCAATTGGCATACTCCTGATGCCTTTCTCACTCCAAGGTGGGGGCAGGTAAATGATGGGCACAGTGCCAATGGCATGCCATCCAATATAATGCTCACCTCCCCTGCTATCACATCTCCTGAGCTGTAAAATTCAGCCCATCATTTTGAAATGTAATAACTTTGATGCCTAATTCCACCTGTGATCGGCTTGTATGGAAGAGTTTGACAAACCTTGCCCAATAATGAAATAAATAAAAATCAAGTAATTATCACAGTCATTCAGCCTCTGGGAAAATGTTCAACCATTAATTGAATTGTATTAGGTCTGTAAATCAATTGCATTTAACCCTGACTTAGTCTTAGCATTCTTCACAAAAGAGGACACAAATAACATCCCGAAAATACTAGGCGAACAGGGTTTAGTGAGAGAGATGAATGGAAGGATATCAGTTTTAGTAGGGAAGTTGGGGTCAGGAAATTGATGGGATTGAAGGCCAAGAAATCCCCAAGACCCGGCAATCTACTTCCTAGTGTCCTTAAAGAAATGACCCTAGAAACAATGGATGTTGTCTTTCAAGAATCTATCAATGCTGAAACAGTTCCTATGGTTTGGAGGGTAATCCCACTATTTAAAATGGAGGTCGATAGAAAACAGGGAATTTTAGAATGTTTAGCTTGATATCGGTAGTACAAAAAATATCAGAATCCATTATAAAAGATCCAATAACAGATCACTTAGAAAACAGCATAGATTTTTCAAAACAGAAATTTGCTTGACAAACTTAATAGAATTTTTGGAGGATATAAACAGTCGTGTGACATAGTGACAAGGAGAGCCAGTCTATGTAGTTTACCTGGATTTTCCGAAGGTTTTTGATAAGGACCCACGTAAGAGATTATTATGTAAAATTAAAGGATTAGAAGTAGTGCACTGACACGGATAGAGAATTAGTTGGCAGACAGGAAACAAAGAGAAGGAACAATTGAGTCTTTTACCAAGTGGCAGCCAGTGAGGTACCGCATGGTTCAGTGCAGGGACCCTAGTTATCCACAATACATATTAATAATTTAGATCAGGAAACTAAATATAATATCTCCAAATTTGCAGATGACACAAAGCTGGTTGGGAGGGTGAACTGTGAGGCAGATGCAGAGATGTTTTAGTGTGATTTGGATGAGTTGGGTAGATGAGAAAAGCATGGCAGAATAAGTATAATGTGGACAAATGTGAGTCTCTTCGCTCTGGTTGCAAAATCAGGGAGTTTGATTATGACCTGAATGCTGATAGATTGGTGTGGAGATGCCAGTGTTGGACTGGGGTGGACAGTCAGAAATCACATGACACCAGGTTACAGCCCATTAGGTTCATTTAAAATCACAAGCTTTCGGAGTGCTGCTCCTTTGTCAGGTGAAGTGTCACTTCAGCTGACGAAGGAGCAGCGCTCCATAAGCTTGTGATTTTAAATAAATCTGTTGGACGATAACTTGGTGTCATGTGATAGATTGGGAAAGGTGAAGGTGCAACGAGACCTGAGTGGCCTTGTTCAGTAGTTACTGAAAGCAAGTGTGCAGCTGCAGGAAGCAGTTAAGAAAACAAA